ACACACACACACACACACACACACACACACACACACACACACACACACACATACACACACAAATAATAAGGAAAGAGCTCGGAGAGCTTCAGACATAGTTTAGCAGGAAAACAACAGTTTGAGCTCAACTTTAGTAAGAAAAGCGCAATAAAACGGATATTTATTCCGTTCCGGGAAACATGTACAGGGCAAAAACAACAGGGGTGGGGTCGGATGATGAAAAAAATAAAATAATACCAACTTGTGACGCCCTCTTATAACCACACGCCGGCATATGATAAGACAAGGCAGAGGCAGAAGCCATAAAAAGAGCGGGGAGGAGGAGGATGGGAACATACCAGACGGAAGAAATCTTACAATTACAACCATGACATGACAATAGCAATCTCCTCAGCAGTGGCGTGGCGTCACTCCCAAATATGTACAACAACACCGTCTCCAGTATATTATGCAAAGCATGGTTTGGTTGTTTTGTTTTGGTTGGGTTTGTTTAAAAATATTTCTTGTTTTGCGTGTGTGCGTGTGTGGGTTTTTGTGTGTTTTTTTTGTTTGTTTGTTTTTTTGGGGGGGGGGGTGTTGGGTTGCTGTTGTTTTGTTTGGGGTTTTGTTTTCTTTAGGATCAATTCAACCCCTGTGGGAACGCCGTCATTTCTTGTGTAGGCAAAAACACTTAACGTGGACCCCATGTTTACAATGAACAAAAGGTCAGACAGTTCAGGCGGTTATAAACATTCAAGTCAGTCTGAAGTGGAACTTAAACCCAGTGCACACTGCCAATCGAATTCAGTCGAATCGAATCGGGGCCAGAGACTTAACTCCACGAAGGGGCAAAGAAGCAACCATCGTGGCACAATCAGGCCGTATTCAACTTGTGACTTTTAAAACTAAACACGTTTGTTATTGAAGGTTGCGTGCGTCAAACGATTGGAAGTGTACAGAGGTCATAACATACAATACATTGTTTTTTCTGAGCGAAACGCGTTAATGGACAGTGCAGATTTGGAAATGATGACACTGATAGATCTAGAAATCCATCAACATGTCCCGTGCCTGTAGGATTCTTTTCTTTTTATTTATTTATTTTTTTTTGGTAAGTGTTTTACGGCGCTCGCAACTGCATAAGGTCATATGAGCGCGCGGGACACACCTAATATTTTCAGTTGGTAGGAAATTTGAATTTTGCCCGG